CAAAACGACAGCAACTTGTCTGTTCCCCTTCCCCCAATTCCCCAGCACTGTTCCCATCCCCCCAATTCCCCAATAAAAATCTTAAAAAAAAAAACCTAAGTTTTAAAAAAAAAAAGTGTAATACTCAATATATACTGATAATAAAAGATGAATACAAGTCGTGTGTGTATTTTTTTTTGGCACCCCCAGTATATATATAATGAATTCATGTGCAATTTGCTTTTTTCTCTCTATAGTCATGAGATTCATCTATGTGGACCCACACATATCGAAAATTTGTATATCCCACAAATACAATACATATGTATATCACAATTTACTTCTCAATTATTAAATACTGCCAAATTGCTCCACAACTACTTTGTGGAACTTTAACACCCCTCTCAATATACAAAAGAATTCTCATTCATTCACATCCTTGACAAAACTTGGTTTTACCAGGATCAGACTATAATTTCTGCACTTCGATAGGTGAAAAGCAACCTCTTAGAAGTTTTAATTTGCATTTCTGGTAAGTGAGATTGGGCATGTTTATCAGCTGTTCCTTTTTCAGCTTTTTGAATCATCTTTTTATATCTTTTGATCATTTTCTTTCGGGAAGTAGTTTTTGGTTTTCTCATTACCTTATAGGAGTTCTTTATGTATTCTCAATCTTCATCCTTTCTCAGTTTTGTGCAAACATTGTTCCTCAGTCTAGTTTGTCTTTGTATACTTTGTTTAAGGTGAATTTTGGTACACAGATGATTTGCGTTTTAATATAGTTAAATGTCTTCAGTGTTTTGGTTAGTCCAGATCTCATGCAAGAAATACCTCAAGATCATAAAGGTATTCTCCAATATTATCATCTAAAAGTTCTGGGTTTTGATTTCACATTAAGTTCTTCAATCGGTCTGGGATTTTTATGTTTGGTATGGAATGGGGCAGGGGTCTACTTTCTTCCATTTGGAAAAGCAGGGATCCCAGTTCTATTTATTGACTCGTTCAGCTCTTCCTCACTGAACCTTCAAGGCCACTTCTCTTCTGTCATCTATCAAATGTCGGGCTCTCTGCCATGTCCCATTGGTCTATTTGTCTATCTCTGGATGAAAATCATACGGTTTTAACTACCAAAGTTTTGTAACGTTGTTGACAGTAAAGCAGTTTCCTCCACGTCATTCTTCTTCAAAATTATTTTGGCCATTTTGGGCACAAATTGAATCTTTAACCTTTCCTTGAGTTTGCCTTGGCCAAGTACAAGTAATCAAGTGGCAGGACAATAAGCAAAAGGGAGAAATCAAGCCCAAGTTAGCCCTGGATAACGCATAAGCTGACTTTTAACTCCTAAATAAATTAACTCCTAAGAAATTACTGTGTAGTAATGAATATATAGAGAGCCCATATACAATAAAAAAAAGTTGTTTACAAAAACAAAAGTATTTAAAAAAACAACGAACAATCTTGTCTGGGCTGCAGCCAGGGTCATTTAAACATAGAAACTGGATCCTCTGATCAGTGCCATGTTCTTGCCTTTATTTTATTTATTTTTAATGGTCCTTCCATTAAATTGTTTTATTATGATAAAATACACATAAAATATACTTATGTTATCTTATCCATTCTTAAGTGTACAGTTCAGTGGCATTAAGTACATTCACATTGTTGTGCAACCATGCCTATACATTTCCAGAACTTTCCATCATCTCAAACTAGAACTCTGCACCCATTAAAGACTAACTCTCCATTCCCCCCTTCCTCCGGCCCCTGATAACCACTGTTCTACTCTCCGTCTCTATGAATTTGTCTATTCCAGGTAGCTCTTACAAATTCTTGTCTTTATTATTTTTTAATTTTCCCTTTAAACATACTTTTGCATACATACCAGTAGTTACAGAGAGTTCTACAATAAAAAATAAAAAAAACAGTGCTAAAACTGTACATTTGTTTCTGAGATCCCTCAGAGTAGCCACATTGAAGGTCAGACTGTCCCTGGGAGAAATTCTGAGAATGCACTAATTGCATCATAGTCGGGGTCTGTGAATGAAGCATTCTTTCTCGCATCCAAGGGAGACTTGTATTCCTGCAAAACGCTCTCGGTGACATTTCCATAACCTCCTGATCGCTGTTTGGTGTTCTGCAGTGTCTTCAGATTCAAACCCTCTTATACGGACCGCAGGACAAGAGGACAGTGGCCACCCAGCAGTCAGTGGACGTCCTGTCCAAGTGAGTTGGCCTTCTCTGCACTGTTTGTCATTCAGAATCTCCCAGGAAACTGGTTCTGGAAGGTACTGTGGAGCTTTCCATGAAAAGCTTTACTAACTGACTTCCCATAATTCATATGCTATACAAGACCAGTTCCTTTGAAAATCCAGTTGTAAAATATCATCCTTGTCCCGATATTAAGAAGAAATTAGCTCTTGAATCATGTCAGAAACACATGCTGGGATTCGTCCTCCTGCAGACCAGGCCCTGCATGCCATCCCGTCCTGCTGGGGGACAAGGGCACAGAGCACTGCCTTGGGCTTCCTTCACTCTGGGGGTGCCCGTAGGGACGGGAACCCAAGAACCCTTTGACGTCACCTTGAGGGTTGGCCCCACGTCTTTCTCAGCCACTGAGCCTCATACTGTGCTGTGGAGGTGCCTCACCTCACATAGCCTGCGTCCCCAGAGAGCCGGCAGGCTGACTGCCAAGTCCATGCCCCTGGGAGCCAGCAGAGGGCCCTGTCTCAGAGCCGACCTTGTGGCCCAGGCCCCTCACCCCAGGGAAAAGGAGCCACCCAGGTCTCCAGCCCAACCTTCTGTTCCTGTTGTGCTCAATGAGCCAGCTAAGGGCTGGTCTCAGCTCAGTGAGAAAGGTCACAGGATTTAGAAAGCAGGAGAAAAACCTTATGTTTTATGTTCCTGTGCCCTGATTCTCCTCTCATTGGTGTCGTCTCCAGAGGCTCCCTCGTGAAATATAGCATGGCAGCTGCTGGGCTTGTCTTCACAGAAGCCAAGGCTAGAGAGAAACCGGGCAGGGGTCTGCGGGGCGCCACACTAACCCACCTTCTGCTTGTTTGCAGGGCCCCCGAGATGGCTGTAAAGCCGAGGCATGCCCCGAAAGCCAAACCGGCCTTCTGCACCGGCGTGCCCCAGCACACTGTGCTGGGAAAGGCTAGGCCCCATGCAGCCGACTGACCCCCCCTCCCCATCCCCCAAACACGGCTGTGGTCATGCCTGGGTGCCGACGTTCAGGGTGCTGCATAAATCTCTCTCCAATTAGAAGATGGAACTCAGCCATCATTGTACAGATTTTCAAGGCCAAGTGTTTGCTCCAGCACTCGACAACGCCTCCCGTGGGCCATTCTGACAGTGGCTTCCCTTTCAGGGGGATATGGTGCTTCTATATAACATTTTCCTTCTTACCACCCAAGTGCGTTTTCTTGCCAACACAAATGTTGACCCAGCAGCAATATTGTGGCCGAAAAGCTTCTCTTCCAAAGTTCAAAACTTCCCGTGCAGGAAAATAGACTAAACACCTGGCTGTACATGGGTAGCCCCTTGCACTGCACAGGTCTGGAGTCAGACTTGGAGTGATAAAATCCTGGGAAAGGCCCTTTCTTATAGGAAGGTAATAGGGATTGAGAATAAAATGCTAACAAAAGGACACTTGTAAGTGCTGAGGTCGATGTGTGCCTTTAAATGAGGCTCAGAGTTCCATGAAGCCTGCAAAGGGGACATAGGGGAAGCTCCCTTCCACTCATGTGTCAGTCACTCATAGAACCTGGTTGAGCCCCCCAGTAATGTCCCAGCTGTGCGTTAAGAACTGGGGAACACAGCACTAAGACACACCGTCCCCATCCTCTCAGAGTTTGCCACCCAACATGGACACCAGTTATGAAACATATAATGGATGGTGGAATTAGTTGATGACCCGAGGGAAAGAGCTGAGTAAAACAAGGTAAGTGATGAGTGAACATGACTTGGCCTTAAGGTCAGGGGAGGCAGGCGTAAGTGAATGGCGGGAGATGAGCAGGGGTGAGGCTGGCACGGAGAGGGTGCCTTGGGAAGGATGCCAGCTCCCTGCTGCCTCCTCCTGTGGCCTCTACTCCAGGCAGGACAAACATGGCTGCCAGTCTGGAGTTTCGTTCTAGAGGTGGCACAGCCCTTGGCCCCCTGCTCTCCCTACTGTGTTCTTGGGTTCAGCATGTGAGGGGTAGGGAGGGTGGTGGGGTGAGCACCCATGTCCACAGTGGTCTTTTCAGTCTCCTGGGGGTTGGGGAGAGGGGTCAATTGAGAATAGAAAAGTAGAGTGAGAAGTCTTGAGCACCGATCTCTGTGCTGTCAACGATGAGCTCAGTGCTGGAATGAGGTAGAGGGTGGGAGTGGGGTGTGGACAATGCTGTTCCCTCCCCCGCCCTGCCCCCACCCTCCTATTCTCCCATCCCATGGACTGTGGCCCAGCAAGGCTGCAGCCTGGGCACCCTTCCACTACAACGCCCAGTAGGGAACCCCAGACCACTCCATTTGTGCAGATGGCCACCTCAAGAATTGAAGGGGGCAAAATAAACCAAAAAGATCCATGATAGAGTGGACAGAGGCAGGGTCCCTTGTCCTCCTTAGGCATGTCACAGCAACTACAGGCCACCTGACTCATATCCACCCATCCCAGACAGACCTATGAAATGAAAACGAAGTGTGACACGTGGTCACTACTCACCAAGTGTCCCATCTAGTTGAAGACATGGGTTTTGAGGTGGATGGTTAGAATAAGCATTTTAAGTACATACCACATTGGTGTCTGCCAAGGACTGAATGTTTGTGTCCCTCCAAAATCCACATGTTGGAACCCCAATCCCCATGTGATCTCTGGGTCTCTAGGAGGTGGGGTCTCTGGGAAGTTCCACGAGGGTGGAACCCATGAATGGGATTAGTGCCCTTATAAGAAGACACACAACAGAGATGTTCTCCCCACCATGTGAGGACACAGCAAGAAGGCAGCCGTCTGCAAACCTGGAAGAGAGCCCCCCACAAGAACCGAATCCACCAGCACCCTGATCTTGGACTTCCCTCTCTAGAACTGTGAGAAATAAATGCCCATTGTTTAAGCCTCCCCATCTGTGGTATTCTGTTACAGCAGCCTGAGCAGACTAAGAAAAGCCACGCTGGGTTTTTGAAAATGTGAATTCTAATGTTACTTTTCCCTTCCTTTCTGTATTTCTTGGGGGATAATATCTTCAGATCACAGAAACTTAAACACATTTAGAAAAATTTAGCTGTCACCTTGAAAAAGAATGAGTTTTGGAATATTCTACCACATGTCTCCCATCAATTAAATAAGTAAACTCCAATGTGAGAGGAAGACTATAGCTATTTATGGATTTTTTTTTTTTGTAAAAGGTTATAAACAGGTAAGGGTATCTAACTACTCCGTTGTCACAAACTACCACAATTTTTTCAAGCTCCCAGGAAACGACCATGATTCACCACTCTTTTTGCATGTGTGCCCAGGACTGTCTGGCTGTAGCGCGGAAAGTCCTGTGTCCCAGGAAGCCCCTCCATCCCAGGGAAAACGGGATGGCTGGACACCTGGTGGCTCCAGCCTTCCAGCCTATGAATGGCGACATTCCAACCACAAATTGTCAAGTCCATATGAATACGGGCCATTTGGTTTATGCTTTCTGCCATGCTTTCTAGTTCTGTGCTGACAATATCAAGTTCTGGTTCAGGCAAGGAATTCAAGAACTGGGCCTTTTCGCATATATCTTCCCCAGTGATTCTGAAGCACCATGAAAAACGTGTGTAAACACATATATGCTTTAATTAGAGTTTCAATAGCAAACACAAAAAACATCTACTGGAAACCATTCATTCTCTTTAGGTCTTTTTCTCTTAGATTTTATTTTTACACATCCCTTTGTAGGGAACAGGAGGTTAGCAAGATCAGCTTTTTCGATGATTCCATTCTAAATATACATTTTAGATAAACAATATCAAACAACCAGTGGGAAGGGAATTACATTCCATTAATACTGTTTTGTCTAAACACAATAGACAGGAAAAGACTGTCCTCACCCATCCAACCACACCATTGATTTCTACTGTCTCCAGAGTGACTGGTTTTATAGGACAAGAAGCTGTGGGGTGACCTGTCATGGTGTTGAGGGCACACCCTACTCCAGAGACTTGATAACCAAGGACAGCTCATGATTCCATATTGGTAAGTACCCTTGGCAGGATACTTCTCGAAGATATTCATTCCAACATGGAGATAAGAATTAAGATCTAAGAAATTTATTTTCCAAATACAGGTGGGTCACAATATTAACAACCTGTTCATGTTCACACCCATTTACAAGGTCATGAGCTATGATAGTGACTAAGCCACTTAGACTCACATAATAGAGTCCCCATTATCAGTCCTGCCATCAAACAGTTGGCTGTCACCCTGACCAAATTCTCATCAATAAATCACTTATACAAATACCAGTACCACTTACAGCTAACAAAATCAGCCCATCCTTGTGTTAGAAACGAGAAGTCTTTGCAAAGCCATCACCTCCGTACCAGTTTGTGACAATCACTAGTTCATTTGGCAGATAACAACGGTTTAAACTTGCAATTCAAATTAACTTGCTTTCTCTTCCCTGATTCACAGTGTTTTTCAAATAGATCGTCCTGAAAGTGGGGCAGCATTTCTCCTCCACTTGTCTGTTGATGAAGGAAACGCACTCGCCCTAAACTACCTGTGGCAGCCATTTCTGGGAACTGAGGAGACAGACGTGTGTCCCAGGAGTCTGAGAGCCATCATCTGAAACCCAGAAGCAAGACCCTCAAATGCCATACTCACCCCCCACCCCACCCCCATCATTACCCACCTGAGGGTGACATTGCCTTGGGTCGTTTTCCCCAGTGCACTATTGTGTTACATTCTATGTTATGTGTTAGAGAAAGCACGGTTTAGGCACCACTATGTGAAGGAAGCTCATTTGGATTCAAATAACGCTGTGCTGCTAGAGATACTAGTTTCAATGTGATGCTTCACCTTGAAAGATTGACGCTAGAAACCCAAATAAAATAAAATGGATCCAATGGAGCACACTCATTGGAATATCTTAAACTCGGTGGTGCAAATCTGCCGGTGCCCTTTCTGTGGACCATCCATTGGAGTGGGGCCTTGGCCTTCCTCCCAGGCCCCTCAGGGGTGCTTCCATGCTGGGCGATGGGAGAGGCACCCACTCAGTTCCTTCCCCCAAACATCTTATTCTAGTTAACGTATTGCTCGTTTCCCTGGACGAAACACCCCACCGGTAGTGATTTCTGTTGAAAGTGCAAAATCTTCTGTGAGGTTGGTTGTTCTTTTTCATCTCTAGCTCCTTGAGCTCAGACAGGCCTCCACCGGCAGTGGTTTAAGAAGGGCTCGATTAGGAAGCACAGGCCACCCCGGGCTTCCAATTTTATCGCACGTGACCACCCTGCCAGTCCTGCTACAGTCTCAGCATTGGCATTCTCTTCATTCATTCTCTTCATTGTCTCCAGGGTCTACCTCCCACCAGTGAAATGAAACATTTAGGTGCTAAGAGCTAAAGTGCAGAAAGTTCAAGTACGCTCTGCCGAGAGCTGGCTACTCCAGAACTTAGGTCATAACCAAAAAAACTATACTGTGCTCTATTAGTGATCTAGTGCCACAGAAAAGAAATGGTGCTGTAAGTGAATCCTAATAAATCATTTTCCCTACGTGAGGGTCTGGGCAGTGTCCTCGGCACCCGTGCAAACATAGCGAGTGTGTTGATTTGAAATTTTGCACTAGGCTGTAGCTATCCTATCCATAAATAAAATGCTGTGTTTTTTTAAAGCTCTGCACATAGAAAGCAATTCATTCAAATCTTAGAATGAATTTAACTCTATGACAAATAACTTACCTAAAGATAAAATTATCAATTTTTTATTTTATTTTATTTTTTTTACTGTAAGCAATTTGCTTATTCCCTATTATTTCTTTTTGAAAAGACTTTGGAAAGAGAAAATTGTATTGGCTCTTTTCCCTTAAAAGGTTAGTTTTCTATTTCTTATTAGCACATGCAAAGACAATGTACTCTTAAATATATTAATCTGTTACTATGTAGGCATCTTACCTAAAGAGAGTTAATTATAGCTTCAAGCAGATGCAAGGCATTTCTATGACCAGGTGCAAACTGGTATAAATCATCTCTAGGAGAGAAAACTCCAGAAAAGGGAACTTTTAAGATGACAAAGAAGTATTTTTGTAAAAGTCCCAACTCAAAAATAAAGTGCCAAAACCTTTTAAGGCATGAATTAATTTGAAACCTTTACAGATTATAAAATAAATTGACATTGCCTAGAGCAACTCTTTGGAGAAAGTAAAAAAAAGGGGGAGGTTTTCATAAAGAGTGGGCCTCCCCCCTTAAAATCAGTAAAGGCCTTTGTGTGTTGGTATAGCATCAAATAAGACACCATTTAAAGCAAATTGTTTCTCAAAACCAGTGTCCCTCATCCTCCTCTTCCTGACTGTCTAGATAGAGGACAGCGACTTGCTTTTCATCTGAAACCACTGACCTTTGATCTACCATCCTCTGTAGCTGCACTGTCTTATCAAACTCAGCCTGCTCCTTGCCCTTAACGCTCGTGCTGGCTGCCCGGCCGTTCCTACTGCCAGCATCTCTCCAGGTACCACTGTCAGACACGCTATGAGCTTCTGCTTCCGTCCCTGCGGGAAAAAGGACCGTGGCCTCTCGGGTCCAGCTGGGGGTCGCCTCTACGTTACTCACGTCCATCTGAAAGGTAAACGAGGTTTCTTTGGGCCCCAGTGCAACGTGCCTTTGCATTCTGCTGCCGCCTGCTGACTCACCAAGCTCAGGGGCGTCTACCGAACCAGCGAGGGCAAATGTTTTGGAAACGGGCCCATGGAAGACGATGTGTTCAGAGGTTTGGGTTTCCCCAGGACCTAGCCGAATATGCCTAAAGGATCTGCTCATGCCCAGTGTCGCTTCTGCCCCTGACGTGTCTCCCCCACTTGCCTCCTGGGGAGATTCAGAAACGGCCCCTTGGAAGGTGCTCTCATCACTCATCAGGACTTTCCTGCCCATGGTGTAACTACGAGTGACCTGGGTCACGTCTGCTGAGCTCGCTCCATGGACCCCGCTTTCAGAGTCGCTGAATTCCCCATGTTGGGAAACTGTCTGCTCGGTGGTCTGACGCCTGTGAGGCCCAACTGTGACGTGCCTGATGGGTGTGCCATTCTCTACCCTATCCTCAGTGTGCACAGATGCTTCTCTGACCCCCAACTCCACCGAGTCTGAGAAGGGGGCTGTGAACTGGATTTGCGCACTGAGCCCCTCTCTGGGGCCTAACTGAAGGTGCTTTACTGAAGTCTGGGTACCCACTAATTCTTCTGTTCGAAAATAATCACCAACCTTCTCACCCCCAGAAAAGGAGCTCGGAAAAATCATTTCCCTTTGAGCATGAAACTGTTTGGAGCCAAACACACTGTGGCCCCCCGGTCTGTCGGTATCTGTGGAGAGCTCTGCCGTGCCCCCCGCGTCCCGATAGGCAGGGTCGGGCCCTTCGAAAAAGATTTCTTTGGACACTTGACTTTGCTCAGGACCCAATGTCAAGTGCCTCACAGACCAGCTAGCTCCCACCGAGCTCTCTGCCTGACTCGGGCCGCCTTCCCCACTTACCTCCACCACTTCTGCAGTGGGTCCCTCGCGCGGGACTCGCTCAGTCCTCCAAATTCCAGGGGAGTCTATCTTAATGTGTCTTACAGACTGATGTACGTCCTCTAGCACGTGTGACTGGGCAAAGCCCGTTGGGCTGGTGACCTCTATAGTGGCCGACACCGGGCCATGGGAAGTGACCCTCTGTGTGCTGCGAGAGGCCCAGCCAGTGTCATCGTCCTCAGCAGAGGGTCTGTACAGTTCCTGGGTGGCCCAGCGCTTGAAGCCGAAGCCGGCCACTGGGGCGGGCCCTGCAGCTTCCCTGTCTGGGCTTCCAGGCGCTGGGCTGTACCGCCTGGCCATGGCATCTCGCACCACCGACTCCACCGCTTTCTCGATTTCACCAGTTTCATCTTTGCCCAGCAACTCCAGATCTAACTTCTCTGTATCCATAGTTTCCGAGAGGTTGACCTCAGCAACCAAGGTCATGGCCCCACCACCCGAGGTCTGGACTTTCTTCACGTCAACAGCAACGTTCCCTGAGCCGCCCTGACCCTCTTTGGTGAGGGCAGACAGTTCCTCCTTCAGGCGCCCCGGGAGGTTCTCCTCCAGCTGCCCGATAACCTCCACCAACTGGTGTCGGGGTTCCTTGGAGGCTCTCCTCATGGAAGTGTGGAATTCGTGTGGTATTTTAACTTCCTTTTCAATGACGGTGGCTTCTGCATGAAATTCGCCACTTCTAGCTTGTTCTTTCCAGGGAGGAGAGCTCACATCCCCCTTCAGAGAAGGTTCTAGAACATCCAGGGGCTTCACAACCTTCTCCCCCAATGCATCACCCCCCCTTATTATTCTCCGAGACCCCGGCACAATTTCATCTTGCCAAGAGTATCGGATGGTGGATTCTTCCTCGATGTGGATCTGCCCGTATACTGAGCCTTCATCTCTGTCATGGCCGATGTCATGCTCGGGGCATTCATCTGGTGTTGACACAAAATAATTCTGCTCTCCCTCTGAGTCACCTGCCTCCGTCACTTCTTCAACATGACTTACGTTTTCTTGGGACAGCTCCGTCTTCTTACGTTGATGAACAGAGAATGTGACCTCTGTTTCTCCATACCCCGCCTCCTCAGCCAGCCCCTGGGAGCCCGGAGACATGTCGTCAACCTCCTGCACGTGGAATGGGGTGGAAACCTCACCGGCCTTCTCGCCACCCATGTAGCTCATGGGCTCCTCGACGATCTCCACGTTGACCACCTTCGCCGTCCCGTGTCTTCCTTTCAGACCCAGGTTGATTATGTCTCCTATCATCTGCTCGGTGGGTTTCCCTTTCAGCCCCACCTTATCCCGCCCATCCATGCTCAACAGATAGTCCTGGCCAGCTTCCTCGGATACGTCGACTTCCTCCGTCAGTTTTGACTCCACCACAATCTCAGTCTTTGTTTTCTTGCCCCCAGGAAGCTCTTTCCTGCCCACATAAGTGACTCTCGTGTCTGGAGAAGAATCAGCAGATGTTTCTGTATCAGGAGACTGGGCAAGCTGCTTCAGGATGCCGGACACGATATTTTCCGCTATGGTTTCCGTCATGGAATCGCCTGTCAGAGAGCCGGCGGCGTCCCTGGCATCCCACCTGAGCTTTGCCTCTTTCCTTTCCACCCCTTTAGCTGGACCACCCCCTGCATCCTTCTTTAGGGGTATCTGGAAACCTTTGGGGGTCCCTTCTGGGGTGCTGTCTTTGGATACTTCCAGACGGATCGGCACCTCTCTTTCTCTCACACTTTGCTCCTTCAATGGCTCCTTCTCCTCTGCCTTGTCCCTCATGTGCTGGCTCCCTCTCTGTCTTGCTTCTTTATCTAACTTGGTTAGCTCTTCCCACCTTAAGTTCCTCTCCTCTGAAGCCTTCTCTTTAGAATCAAACATTTTCTCTTCTTGCTTTGATTGGACGGTTCCTGCTCTGTTTCTCTCCTGCTCCCTCGTGGCTCTAGCTTCTGTTTTCTTTCCCAAAATGACGGTCCTCTCATTTGACCAAGTGCTTTCGGAAGCATCTGCCACCACATTGTCGCGGCGTTCTCGGTGTGACTCCTGGGCAAGAGTAGGCTCTCTGGCAACATGAATGGGGATGTCCCTTGTACCTTCAGTTCTTGGTCTACCGGGGAATGTTTTCAGTTGAGCATCAGTATTTCTTCCAAGCCCATGGGCGGGAGACAAAGTTCTGACGTTGGGCGGACTGCTGGCAGTTTTTTCGTAAGACTTTTCCCGCTGGGTGGTGGTGGTAAAGGAAGGATATCCTGAGCCCAGGAAGCCTCTCCTGGAAATGCTTCCAGTCTGTGATGCCTGCTGTGCCCACAGGTTAGGATGCAGGGATGAGCTGTGCCGGAAGCTCCCCGAAGGTGCTTTCTGCCTCGAAAACAGGTTTCTTTCATTTTCCCTCTGTAATACCGAGTTGGTATAGTGATAGGACGTTTTTCCGAATTCTGTAGAAATGGAGCAGTTCATTAAAATAATAGTCATCATTACCTTATTTTTTTTCCATCTTAAAAAGTATCACTGTAGGTCAAATCCCACCCCATCATAATAAATACATATGATTATCACAGAATGGTCATTATATTCTCAATCCCCGAAATAACTTTTGGGTAGTTTTAAAAATCCTGTTACAATAAAATTATATAGCCCTACAAATGCTTCAGCACAACGCTTTCTCTAGTTACTGATGTTAAATACCCCTGTTAACATATATATGAAACGTGTGATTGTAAAGCAAGACACATGCATCAGATAGGTTGGGGTGCTGGTTTTTGTGGCCCAAATGTCACAATATTATGATAACTTGGAATCATTCATTTCTACATTGTTGGGCTAAGTTTCTTTTACTTACTACAGTAGAAAAGAGCTTCATAATTACGAAGTACCTAATTCATACACATTAAGTGGAATTACCCCTCCACCATTTAATATATTCTTATTTCTCATTGATTTCCATGTTGGGGCAACAAGTATTGAAGAATTTAACTTTTTTTTTTAAAGCATCCTGATTTCTTTTATTTTTACACTAATATTTTTACAAACTTCTCGTTTGAAGAGGTGCCAGAGCAGGAAGCCGACCAGTCACCAACATTAGGATCTGATTTAATGTCATGATTTTGGGGGTTGGGGGGCAGTCCATTGGACTCCCCACCTTGCTCTGGACCACTGGCAGAGGGTGCTACCCATGGGGGTGTCCAAACTCCACCAAGGTACCTGCTCTTAGGAATGGCAGCCGGTGATTAGAATGTGGCCGGGAGCACCATCCACCCTGAGCTTGTCCCCTTGTGCCTACCCACATCCCATCCTGCCGAGCTGGGCAGCGCCTTCTCTCTCCACCTGGTCTCCCTCATGGTGGCCAATGCCAGGGGCTTCTTTAGGACAGATCCCAGGACACAGGAGAGAGACCAGGCCAGGACATTGTCTACAAAGATTCTTCTTCTAAACTGAGAAGTCCCAGAAGATGAATGCCCAGGAAACAGTGCAGGGATGGCCTGCATTTTCATTAAGGTTCAATGAGAAATATGGAAGATCACAGATTGGTTTTAAGCCTATGATTTTAAGCCAAATTACTGTATGCAATATTACAAAAGAAACAAGTGCATTAATAAGCACTGATAAATTCCCTATCAGGAACACATCTCTACACTTATTCAGTGAAGCTGATTGAACACGACACAGAAATATCTGGAAGCTCTAAGACTAATAAAAGAGTTCACAAATGATATTCTTTATTCTAATACTTCCTTTTGGCATAATACATAGTTGCTAAAATAAATTTAGTTTACAAATACTGTATATCCTTTAAGAAGCTTGGAAAATAATGAATGAATGAAAAAAGTTAACAGAGACACCCAATTGCCCTTTTGCTGAGCTCTTCCTAGGCTACAGAAATCACAGCTAGTAAAAGATGAGTGACCCCGGGCCAGGACTGTTGGTCCTTCCTTAAGTTTGGTCGTGGCCCTCGTTTTCTCTCTCCCTTCTTTCTAAGTTATGCGATGCATTTCCAGACTTGTATAGCCACATGTAAAAAAAAAAACACTAGGTGACTAAGTAAATCTTGAAATCTGATGCATAAATAATTCTTATTTTACAGATGTCATCATGTGAACTGATGCCAGGCAGACTGACTAATGGCCACATCTGTGGACATCTTTGCTTTTTCCAAACTTACTCTCAAAATCAGAAAGCAAACTTGCTGGGCATTGTCTAAGACCAGATCCCTTCCAGTCACAGATGATTAGAACCAAAATTATTATTCTGAACCCAGTGACCTGTCAACTCTGTGAAGTGCCTAATAGGGACAATGTTGTGTTTTGAAAAATAATTAGCTTTTCTTATGTTTACCTCGTGGCAGGTTTTCAAGGCGCTCAGTTAAGATCAATATCTCTGGATTACTTTCTCCTTCCAGTAAGGCTCTGTAGAAATTAAAACAGAAAACAAAACAAAACTCATTCGGAAATAAAGGACCAAGAAGTGCCTCTATGAGCCATGGTATGGAGTATTTGCTTAATGACCACAGTGTCACAGTGTCATGTGTTTCAGGACTCGTGTCTGAGGATGTGGTACCACTGGGATGCAAGCCAGGCTCACTAAACATGGCCGGACAGAACATCCATGTAACTGAATGAACAAAATGAGGGTCTAGAGCTTCAGAACTACTGCAGAGCCAAGTCCTTCTAGAAAGCCTTTCTAGGGCCGGCTGAGTGGCGCGGTGGTTAAGAACTGGCTTGGGATGCCAGAGAGCCCAGGTTCGGATCCCACATGAGGGCCAGTGACACTGCCCTCTACAGCTAAGATGCTGAACAACAGCTCAACCTGGAGCTGGGCTGCCATGAGTTGCCTGCGACGTCTAGGCTGCAGCCCCTGCTGCAGTGGGTTACCATGGGCTACCGTGTGTAGCCAGCAGCCAGCGTGAGCGGCCAGCAGCCGCAGTGAGCGGCCGTCCAGAAGCCGGCGACTGATCTGCCTCGCCCGGGAAGAGCGCAATGATGGTGCCAACTTGCGCCAGTGAAGCAACGTCCTCCACAACTAGACTGAAGAACAAAAGGACAGCAACTTGTCTGTTCCCCTTCCCCCAATTCCCCAGCACTGTTCCCATCCCCCAGTTCCCCAATTTAGAAAGAAAGAAAGAAAGAAAGAAAGCCTTTCTAAACCCAATGCCAGGAAAGGAGGCAGAGAGATGTGGGGCCCAGAGGGCGGGGTGGGGGGGGTCTGGCTTCTCTGGGAAGCAAGGAGGGGCCCATGTAGGCATGTCACCCCAGGGCTAGAGGGCCCCAGAACAATGACAACCCCCAGGGGGGTCTTTCTGGAGTCAAAGGTCAGAGGCTGACATTTGTGTATAAATAAAGCCACTTCATATGTGGTTTTCAAACTGGGTTCCATGGGGATATCCTGGAGATTTTTTTTAAAAAGGGGAGCGATGGCAGGGGGGCAGGAGAAAAGAGGCAATGAAAAGATGCAGACCAACTACACCCCCACCCCCACCTCCAGGGGCCTCATTTCGTCCAGAAGAGTATCCGTTATCTCCTTTAACAAAATGGTGGAAAGCACTCCACCAGGTGCTTTATTTGGCCACGTCCATCTCCGAAAGGCTAAAACTGTGGCGTCCACGCTGAGTTGTGATTCACATCTACCACTCAGCGCCCTGAGGAGAGTGGACACGTCAGGCTTGGGCCCCGGTGGACCGGGCGTGCTGGGACTGGCTCAGCACTGGGATGTCCCTCGCTCAGAGACCCCTAGGACGCTGGCTGCTGCGGACACAACAGTTGTTCGGTTGCTAGAGCAACGTGTGAGTCACTAACTTCAGTTCCAAGAAATACACTGTATATGGCGAAGGGCGACCAGAAGCAGGGCCCACTTGGAAATGCTGCTATTACCACTGGGAGCTGGGCACGGAAACAGAGGAGGGACGCCAGTGCTGGGCAGGGCCTCAGCGGTTCAGGCAATCGGGCACCGAGTTCCATCTCTACTGATTCAAATGTGGTGATTCCCGCAGATGTGTGAACCCCGGGGGCAGCCAGAAGAAAGTGAGAGAGGCTCCCTTCCAAGGACAGCAGCAGAGACAATCGCGAGGGGTTCTTCTCCAGGTGTGTGCAGATGGTTCACCGTGGAAGCCGTGACGGACATGCACACGTGTGCTGATGCCGGGAGACGCGGGGCCCTTCCACTCAGGGTGAAAGCCAAGAAACAGGACACCAACCCATTAATTCCACACCCTCATGACCATGCATTTTGGGTTCCAGGAACACAAATAGCTTCTCCCATCACTGAGAAAATTCTGAGCTCTGTATATAAGAGGAACGTTCTGGGTAAAAGTCTCACGCGGGGGGTGGGTACCCCAGGATGACGGCCACAGAAGCGGTGGCGTCCTACAGCTAAGGGGCCAGGGTGGGGCCTGATGAGAAGGTCACATTCTATTTCAGACCATTCCTTGGCGGGCTCAGCAGGAAGCCTCGGGCTTGTTGCTGGAACAGCCCAAGTCAGGACAGAGAGTGTCTGAGGCGTCCAGGTCCGCAGACAAACCAATGGCAGGTGTGTGGTGGGGGTGGTGGTGGGGGGAAATCCGGATAAAGAAGATCCCCTTAGGGAAAAAGAAATCTTTCCTCACCCCTCAATGGGGAATGGTTTTGTTCCTTTTTCAGGGAAAATCCAAACCGTCACCGAACTTCTCCTGAGTTTGGGGCCCTGAGGGTAGGGTGCTGTGGTACACAGGAGGGGTACCAGTCCCCCACGGGGCTTGAGTGGTCGGTCACAGACACAGCACTGACACTTCCAGTACCCATGGCCCTGAGTACCCCTGGCTAAGACTGAGCACCAAGCACTCTCCAGCCCTCCCGTCTGTTACCCACAAAGTCCTCCCAGAAACCCCGTGCACAGGACCAGTGACGAGCACCCTGGCTCTGTAGGTAAGAAAGCTGGGGAGAGTAAGATGGAACCCAGGCAGCCTGAGTGCTCACCCCCGCCCCTTCGAGGCCAGAGACTTCAGTATTTTATACAAATGGTAGACAGAACAGATCCTGCAGACAGACCCTCCAGACCATATGCACGAAAGCATATTCAACACCTCGTGGTAATTTCCATCAAAAGACCCTCCAGGGCTCTCCCATAGGCTATGAAGCCCCTACAGGGGAAGGGCTCGGTTCCATGTCTGTGTCTCCCTCTTGATGGCTGGCTCTTGCGCAGCAGGGGCGTGTCACCTTCTCCACCTCAGCGCCCACCCAGGGCCTCACAGGACAGATCCAGGCACTGGTCATTTAATTTGTGCCTTAATTAACATACACCCCACGTGACACACACCGAGCCCTGCCCTCCACCATCACGAGACTAACGGCCGAGGTGAAAACTAAACCGATGCTGAAGATGCCAGAAATGTAGGATTTTCTCAAAACCTCTCAGAGGACCATTTTTAGGGAATAGACTCGTACAACTTTAAAGTTGGCAGAGCGCTCTCTGGTTATTTTCAGAGAGGAGAACCGCCGCCAGGCCCTGGCGACTTGAGATGCCAGCCCCCTGACTCACAGCTATCAGTGAACATACACGCGCAGCTCAACGGCCGCCAGCCTCATAAGCAGGAAAACAAGCGGACACGTGCGGGAAAACAAGATCCCTGGCCTCACGAAGAAGTTGGGACAAATCCAGAGAGCGAAGTGAGCTGCCATGTGGCCCCTGGCCAGGCTAGACGCGCTAACAGACCACCCATCGTCCTAACCACCAGCAGCAGGGCTCTCTGGGATAAATTATCCTAATGGAATTTCAGGGCATGCCCACTGTTATTTCGCACTGTGGGTACAGTGCTGCCACACTGTGCGCCCAGGACAGGAGGACGAGAGTGAGGGGGGAGGGGCACTCAGAGGATGTTTCCAGAAGGGACACCATTGGGGTCCATGGACATTCACAGGGTGCTTCCTGGCTCAGGGCAGGTGGGAGCTGAGAGATGAAAAAAGGGAGGGAGCTGGGAGGAGGAGTCTCAGACCTGCCTCCCTGGCCTCCCGGCTTCCAAGGGGGCAGGAGGACTGCCTGTCACCCCAGACTTGGGACTGGAGGCGGGAGGGAGGAAGGGAGGAGAGAGGGGTAGAGTTCCATTCACAGGAGGGACATCACCATCCAAACTGGAAAGAGTCTGTCCCAACCACAGGCGTTACATGGAAGATAATAATGAGGAGATGGCGCTGTGTCTTTTCTGGTCATTCCCTCTGCGCTCAGTATTACATCACATATAAAGCCTCATCATCGATTCTAGAGACTGAAAAAAAAATCAAATGGAGGACTCCCTGTGACTCAGTTTCCCCATTCTGAAATGAGGACACATGTGCAGGTTTGTGGCGGTAATTAAGTAATTGGAAAGTTCTTACAACAATGGCCGTCACAGGACAGGTATTCAATGATGGTTAGTTTTCATCACCTTCTACCTTTTCGCCAGCCCAGTTCCTATCTCCCACCTTTCCCTACCCCTTCAAGGCCCAACTCAAATCCCACATCCCTTGAACATCTCAACTAATCACCTCGGCCTGAAGCTCTCTGTCCCTTCTCTGAACCGTCTTTATCTGACCTAATTTGGCAATTAGCCATCTACAGTATGTTCTTGGAACGTGCGTTCTGTTATTTTAACATCTTCTCCTCCCAGGCCACACCTGCTTCCCACCTCCCCCTCTCCTACATGTCTGTTCAAATCTCCACCATCCTTCGAGACCCAGGTCAATCTCACATCCCTCGTGAAGCCTTCCCAGATTTTCACAAACTCCCTTCTGATCTCTGGAAACCCTGCACTTGGGTGTCTTTGGGTCATTTCCTGTGTCCTACCATGTAGGAAGCTACTTAGGTCCACGCAGCCCTTACCCACAGAATATGATCCTCTATGCCAAGGTCCCTCTCAGCAGATATCGCACCCTGCAGGCCACGTGTCCCTGGAGCAGCCTGAGAACACACACCCCAGCTCACAAAACCACAAAACACGGCTTCACAGGATGGATGCCCATCCATCACATGCGGCAGGGCCATCCAGCGACACCCACATGCTTGGCATTGCCACAGGCGCCACGCTAGCTCAGGCGTCAGGTCCTCTCCCAGGCTGTCCTTTCTGCCTGGAAAGCCCTTCGCACATGCCCTCTTCCTGATGTCCCCTCCCGCAAGACCCAAGCACTGCCTCTTCCAGGAAGCCTGCCCTGCACACCTCATCGGCCCCCATGTCACTAAGTCTGTCCATCTTTTGTCTTGTTCTCTGCACAGCTGCAAGATAGGCTTGGTGCTTTCCGGATGTCCTGGGCTGCTCTGCAAACTGCAGTATGTACGCAGATCACATGAGATCTTGTTACAAGGCCAACTGTGGTGAGTAGGTCTGGGGTGGGCCTGAGATTCTGCCTTTTGCACAAGCATGAGGTGACTCTCATGCCGACACTGTCAGTCTTCAGGGCCCTGTGAACAGCGAGGCCCTGTACCAGTGCTTCTCTACCCTGGTCGCACCTGGCAATCAGCCTGGGAGCTTTCAAACCACTGCCATGACGGGCCCACCCTGCGCAACCTACCCAGAATATGTAGGACTGGGCCCAGGGCGACAAGCCTCTCCAGCCCCTTCTGACGTCGTTGTGACAGGCAGAGAAGGGCGAGCACAAGCCCACCTTTTCTGGTACTTTCTCTCTTCTCTCAGCATCCTCGGCCCCAGCCCAGCCCCACGGCTGCTGCCAGTCGTCACCTGCTATGTAGGAGGAGAGGGCTCATTGTGATATTCACATCCCAGATGACGTGCCAGGGTCTTCCCAAGCCACCAAGTGGCCACCTAGGTTTGATGAACTTCTCAAGTCTTAGATTCTGAAGTTTGCTTTGTTTTCATTTGATGAGTTTATTCAATGACATATTTACTTACACCCTGTAAGCCTATATTTATGAATTGTAAATCACGCCATTTAATTTTGCCTTCATGTTTCTTCATCACTGTGAAGGGTACCAGGAAGGGCCAGCTATCTGGCTTCGGAAGTGTTCGCGGCACTTGAGAGCTGGCGTCAGCACAGCCGACAAATTCCAGCTGGACTGGAATACGCCTTCAGCTTTAAAGGGCCACAGCCCTTACATGTGACATGGTTAGGGAGGATGAAGACCATCAACTGAGCAGTGCTGGGGGATGGCCACCACAGGGGGAACTGCGGCAAATCGCATGATGTCAAGCCAAGAGGGAGGGAATGTCAGCTGCAGTGTCAGCCACCCTCAGCCTCGAGACAAAGCTGGTGAGGAGCTGCACTGCTCGGGCCCCTGGGCTGTGTCTCCATGTGGCTGACCATCCCTGCTGCTCGTGGTAAGGCAGGGTGTGGGAGGAAGGCCAACTTCCTCAAAGACGGTGTGTCAAGGCGTGTAAACATCGATCCAGTGGGCACTTGTGACAAGGGTCAGAAGCACAGAAGAGCACTCACACCAACATGAATTTTCTGTCCTCAGAATCGGGGCAGCCACACAAAATACGGAGGCCTGCAGCCATTCTAACCACTGAGGTAAGTGTCTGAAGCTGGCCAGGGCCAGGTGTGAACCAGGCTCCTGGACCAGGCTCCTTACTTACACCTTGCAAACTTGGACTTCAGAAAGACATACAGTGCAATCAATCACTCGTGTCCTTCAAAGGACTGGTGCCTCCTAATTTCCTAGGAGGTGGCCAAGTCGACCCCGAATTGGGTTACGGAAATGCCAGGAACAGACAGAGGCAGCACAGCTGACAGTCAAGCTGCTGTCAGGAGCGAAAAAGGCTCCCCAATCGATGCCCTCGGGAAAAACTAAGCTGGTAGGAATGTGAGCACCTACTAGAAAGGTAAGGCAACATGCGCACTGGTGCCCTCTGACTTTCCACAACAGAGAACTGGGGCAGGACAGGGCGAGGAAGCAAAAGAGCTCCAAACCCCAGAGACAAAGCACAAAATCAAAGCATCCAATTCCAACCCAGGGAGCTATTACAGAGAAGAAACAGGGAGAACCAACCACCCTGTAGGAAAAGGACTCGCCAGGCATCATAGCGCAGGCACAGGTGTGGGTTTTCTGGACCGGACCAGCACCCGCTTTAGAGTGGTACAGGACTGGGGTACCTCCTGCCTCCCAGTCTCAATCCATGTGACTCATGGGAGGCTGACCCCTTCCAAGCCCTAGAGCACTTTGTCCCCTGGAACTGCTTGGGGCCTGGCCTGCCGCAGCGTGGGCGGGGACCAGGAGGAAGACATCAGAGAAGGCAGGGACAGGTGGCTGACAACCTCTTCTAAGCACCTGGTCCCATCATGCCCGACACTAAGGACTTTTTCAGTTATATGAGGAATAAATGCCTGTTTTTGACTACAGCCAGTCTGAGAAGGGTTTCTGCCACGTGCAGGTGGAAAAGTCCTGATTAATGCTCCCTTTCCCCCAAATAAAGTCTGTTTTTTTTTTGAAGGTTTCCTTATTAGTAACGTTTACCTCATCTTACTGAGCGTTTGTCTAAACACCCTATCAGTTTCATTTTGTGACCGTTCACCTCAGGAGATGTCCAAGGAGAATGCGGGAGATGGAACTTGGGAAGGTCAGGCTGGCCAGAGCCTCCTCCCTGGCCCTGACCACCATCACCCCTGTAGGATGCAGCCACAGCACGGCTCTGAGGGGGACCCAGCAAAGCCCCCACTGGTTTGGCCCAAGGATCACCCCTCAATTTGGAGGTTTCTCCAAGGGCTGCCGTGCCCCTAGGCAGACTTCACCCCTTAGCGGCCATGGTGGGCCCAGGTAAGGGGCTGCCCGAGAACCTGCTCCCTCTTCACTGATGGTAAGAAAGGGCCCTGATGAGAGGTGGGCTGTGGGGAGTCTTCCAGACAATAAAGACAGTGAGGCTGGCCCCGGCTGCAGTGTGGGCCACCAGCAGGCACCAGCCAGACACCTCCTCACAACGCCCATCAAAACAACCCAGGCCCCTTCGTTATTCTCAGAACAAAGTCACGACCAAAAGGCTGCACAGGCAACCTGCAGGGAGTGCTGAACGAGGCCAGGGCTCTGCCGCTAACCAGGGGAGTGGACCTGCGCTGGAAGATGGCACTGATGGCTGTGCCTTCCACTCATTTGCCAAGGCAGACTTCCCAAAGCTCATTCAGGCGCATGATCGGTTACGATGCTGGGAATGAAGGGGGCGCCGTGCCCACTTTACCAGGTTTGGGGGTAAGGGTCCCTCAGCAGCGAGGACCCCTGGCTTCCAGGCCCCTCCTGCTCCCCTGCAAAGGAGATGAGTGGGATTCACCACCGAGAGGGTGACTGTGAATAGGAAACAGCTGCAGGGGACTTTGCACTGGGTCCAGAGGGCAGTAAGGACTCAGTCATGTTGGCTACTGTTGTCTTTCTCACAACTGAGGAGCTAGGTCTCTAAAATTCCTTGCCCTGTAAGTGTCGAGATCTGGGCCCCTCCGTGCCAGTCCTCATGGAGCATGGAAGCTGAGGGAAATAAGGGGAACCCCTCAACCAAAGACCGCTGACCACCCCGGGGGCAGGACGGGGAATGCCGAGGGAAAGTGCCACTCTGGGGACACCGGCTGTGTTCTCTGCCCTGCCCAGCACTCAGTCTCTTTGAGGGCTTTGTGACTCATTCATCTGGGTTGGTCACGCCAAATTCAAATTGAGAAACAAAGCCAGTTGCCCAAAGGCCCCTGGGAAAAACTCAGAGCCCTGGGATTTGAAACAACAGGCAGCTGGACTCGGCCATTCTGGGTTCGAATCCTGACCCTTCACTTTCTAGCTTTGTAACTTGTCTGAGTCAAGTCTGTTCATCTGTAAGCACAGGACCTAAGGCCTAGGATCCAAGGAGTTGACATATGAGTAAAGCTCTTCAACGGTGCCCAGGACACGCAGACAGAGGCAGGGGGACAAAGCTCAAGCTAGTCCCTTCACTGGGGAAGGCCGGCTCTGTGACCTGCATCTCTCTTCCTCCTCCCTCAGGCCCTGGACTCCCCGCCTGACCATGCCAAGGGCTGCACTCTATTGGTTACAAAGCCACAGGCTCTCTGCAGAGGCTACGGTGATATCACACTGCCGGCTTCCTCAAGGCAGACTCAGCACAGCATCCTTACCTGTAGGTTGCCACCTCCAGGCTGAGGCCAGTCTTCACCTGCACGAGCTCCTGATAATCCCGCAGCCGGTCAGCCATGGCCAAGGTGAGGGCCGCCTTCTCATCCTCCAGGCAAGAAAGCACACTCTGAAAAGAACAGAGGGTTCTTAGGTCAGAGGACTTGGAGCTTTGTTGGGATGAACTCAAGGTCCCAACAGTTCAAGACACAGAAAGAGACGAAAAACCTCCAGGTTTATGAAAGATGAAGTCATTGCAAGGATGGTTGTAATTACAGCATTTCTTCCATGAGGAAGTTTTTTTTTGTTTTTTTTTTTACTGCACAGGGAAGATTTTAATAGGACACTGGCGTCTCTGTTTATACTCTCTAATAATAAAGAATGCCTAAGAGTTTATTAGAGCATCTTGGTCCAGACATCAGTTCGCTTAGGAAAGTCAATACGCCAAATTGCTCAACTAAGATGCTCCTGAAAATAAACCCAAACCAGAAAGCATGGGTTTTACAATATTTAAAAATAGAAGTCACTCCAATTTGAAAGAGAATTTCCTCTATACTCATGATTTCCCCCAATAAAAAGCAGGTAGGCTGATACAGGACTATTAGTTTCACATAGAAAAGCTACTTTAAAATCATCTGAGGAGAAAGCCTACATTAGTGAGATAGGAATGTATTCTGGGCAGAAATGTCAAACTACAGACCCGCCTCTAGAAAAATGCCCTCCACATAGCTGTTACACAGCACACAATTGGGGAATTGGATTTAAAATGAAATGAGGAAGGTAATAGTACTCTCCTCAAAACGTACTATTTTTATTTTTATTTATTATAATTTTTTTATCTTTTTTAAGGTTTCATTGGGGGAATTGGAGGGGAACAGTGTTGAGGAATTGGGAAGGGGACCAGCCAAGTTGTTGTTCTTCAATCTTAGTTGTGGAGGGCGCCAGTCGCCATCTGGCTTCCCGTCGGCAGCTCGTGGCCTCTAAACTCAAGGTGCTGTGTTCAATCTTAGATGTGGGTGAGTGTAGCCACCATCCCATGTGGGAGTCAAACTAACAGCCTTGTTGTTAAGAGTGCACACTCTATCCATTGAGCCATCCGGGCGGCAGCCCAGCTCAAGGTGCCCAGTTCAGTCTTAGCTGCGGGTGGGCATAGCCCACCATTGAACAGGCAATCTTGTTGTTACACCAGCTGAGCCATCCTGCCACCTGTTGGCAGCTCAGCGACAGCTCAGCTTGGGCACAGTGTCACTGGCCCATGTGGGAATCAAACCAGCAGCCCTGTTGCTCAGAGCTCGCGCTCTTAAGTCAACTCTTAACCAACTCTTGAGCCACTCGGCCGGCCGAAAACATAATATTTTTAAATCGACAATATCTTTTAATTAATAAACACAATGGCTTTAGTCACACAATGTTACAGTTTTGCATTACTCTGTGTTATAGTTTTGCCTAACTTTTTATAGTTAGTCTCAGGAATAATTAACTGAGCAAATATGTAAATGTTGGAATAAGTCCATATACCTCTAGCTTGTAATGGAAAATTGCATTATTTATGAATACAACTCACAGGCTACATTTTTAGACATTTATCTGTGTGGAATTCAAAAACTGTAAGACAGTCAAGGAGAGGGCCTCTATTTTCATTCCTCGTGTAATCCCCCCACCAAAGTTCACAGTCAATGTCATATCTGCGAAACCAAGGAATGATCTTAACTTAACTAATGATTTCACACTGAATTTACCATTTCAAAAAAAAAAGCATGGCTAAAAACAAAAACTGAAATCATTTAGCTTTGAAAACAAAAGAGTACATTTTAAGAATCACTAGCTAGTACCTCCGGGAGGATATATGTTAATAGCCCCCAAAGCTGGGCATTATAAGCAGATAAAGAGGTTCATGGCCAGTCTTAAATGACAGAGTTGCCAAAATTTAGCCATGACATTCATACACTCTATTGCTGATAGTTAATGATCGGAGTTAAAAATCTAATGTTTGCCCATGTTAGAGGGAGTATAGACTCAGCTACAAGAGACTATAAATATATGACTTCTTTCTACAATGGGAAATTCAACCTAAATATTAAAACTTGAGAATTTATAGTAATTTATTCTTTACAAGGAAGTTCAATTATTGTTCAATTGCTTCGAAAAAAATATCAGATGCACTAAAGTCTCTAACCACAAACCTCCTAGCAGGTCAAAATCCCCCCAGCATGTGCAAAGATGGTCTCCCTTCCCCGGGGGCACAGAGGGTTCTGCACCCCCACAAAACATAGAGAACAAAATGGAACTGTGTTGAAGTAAGTATGGTTCCAACCACATTTCCATGTGAGTCAACTCTTCCTAAACTGTCAAAGGGAAATGAGTTGACTTCTGGAAGCAGGAACATATGGCTTATTGGCTCCAGACACTCTCCAGAGAAATTGTAACTGATCCTTCTGGTTGAAAAAAGCTTCAGACTTGGGCTCTCCTTTGCGAGAAGTTTTCAAACAGTGGGCCAAGCCAGAGGCACCGGAGCTGACATACTAATTCTAATCCAGGCAGAGGCAGTTTCACCTAATGTTATAAAAGCTGGGCTTTTCACCTTCTTTAGTTGTTATTTTGAGAGATTTGGGGCAGCATCGCCACTGATGACGAAATGTAAGTCTACAGCAGGGAAAGCATGCTGCCGTTAGCACCCAAAGAATTCACTGTCTTTTAAGCAAACTTTGAGCAGATCTTTGCTAAGCAAGTCACCCAGACACAATAGGAAGTGCTTGCAAATGTCACTGTCACATCACCGGAATTTTCAGTGTTAGAGCTCTAACCTTGAGTCTAAATGTGATCACCTCATTTAGACACAAAAACTAAATGTATGAATAATAATGAACACTGATTGGATGCTAAGTATTTATAGCTCTAGCCCAGACAACACCCTGAGCTCTGGAGTCATAATTTTATTTTACATATCAGGGGGGGTGTCTCAGAGGCATCTGAAACTGGACTCTGATCTCCCACCCAAACATGCTCTCCTGCACCAACCCCCTTCACCTGAGAGAGCCCCCCCTCCAGTTGCTCAGGCCACACCTGGAGTTAACTTGATTTCTCCTTCTCTCTCCCTCCACATCCAATCCATCTGCAAACCCCACTGGCTCAGCTTCAGGCTGATCCCTGTCTCAGCCCCCTCGGGGCTCCCCTGACCCCGCCTCCAGCACCTGCTGCCTTGATCAACGCAGTCATCTACTCAAGAGGTCGCCTTGTTCCCACTCTTGCCCTACAGCCTGGGAGACAGGGTGTGTTACTCAGGTTTTCAAGTGATCTTGACCACGTTTGAAATGCTGGGAACCTATATGTCAGTTCAGCAAACTTTTCTCTGGCAAATCTGAGGCAAGGGGCCTAACAGGGAGAAGGCATGTGGGCCACCTGGGAAGGACCACTTTTCCCAGAGTGTCCTAGGGAGCATCTTGCCCCCTTGAGCTGCAGAGGGGGCCCAGAGACAGGGAGACATTGGGCACTGTGGGGGGAATCGGGGGTGGGCTCCTGCCTCCAGATGGGGGCTTCCCATTAAATCATATGGAAAAGTAAATGAAAGACTTAACACTAAAGCTATTCTGACAACAGCCAGCTGGAAGGGTCTAAAAATATTTTAGGATTTCAGATTAATGGGGCAAGTCCTTCCTCTGGGCTGGGCCTTAGGAAAAGCAAATATCATCATTCCATGAATGCAAAGTGAATACTGGTTAAAAGTTTATCTTTAATGGAACAGATAGAAGAGAGGAAATGTAGCCCAGTGGTTAGTTGCTCGGCACTGGAGCCTGAATTGAACCTGGCTTAGTTACTTACTAACTAGGTGACCCATGAGCCTCAGTTTCATCTGTAAAATGGGGCTAATATTAGAACCCACATCATAAGATTGGTGAGAGGACTGAGGGTGAATACATGTGAAGTTCTTTACTCCGTGCTCTTTACTTCTAGGGTAAAGAAGCAAATTCCAACAAGAGAGGTATCACTGGACAGGAAGGTGAGGGTGGGATTCTAGTTCTGGGTCAGGTGTGACCCCAAGGAAGGCACTTCCCTGGGTGGGTACTGGGGTCCCTATGTCAAAGAAGGGCTGGATGGAGATTCTAATTGCACTTCTCAAGTCCCCAGCTCTCTTCTAATCAGAGGAAAGAGTTCTGCTTGCTAAAAAGAACTTTGAAACCAGAACTCCAAGATCCAAAATGAGCCAAGGGAGCCATGACAGCAAGTGAATGGTGAGGATTTAGCCCACACAGCAAGCCTCAAAGAAGCATTTTCCAAACCCATTTACACATCACGGACCCTTGAGGTGGTAGCAGGGGTTCCCTATGAAGGGGTTCAGGGGTCAGTGAGTTTGGCAGGATCCCTTTTTGATTGAAAGCTCCATGAATACCTACTTTCAAGACACTTTTAAACTTTCGTTTACCACAGAGCATGGGGCCCTGTGGAGCCAGCATCCCTGGCCACCATCATAGGAAAAGGAAGTGCTCTGGAATCTAGAGTAAGTTCTGGAAATCAGCACACACATCAGCCAGGTGCTGGCTTTGCTCCACCTACAACCCTGGAAGAAGGCTTTTCAAAGTCATGAGACAGAGGCCAAACAAAACCCATGATCTAAAAAACTGAATCCCAATGCTTGAGGACTATATTGCTTTATATGATTTCCCATCTAGACTCCAGCTCTTTGACTACTGAAACCCCAGTGCAGTGCTGGGGACCCGGGGGTAGTCGATAGGTACTTGCTGATTATTTGTAAACACCTGTCACATCACCACAGTCCTCTATGCCACACCCCCATATTCCCTTTACTCATCTTTTTTTTAAAGCACAAAATCACTCTATCACAAATCTTTACCACGAAGCTACAAACTGTTCCCTTAAGATACGTCTAAATTTATGTGGATGTTATTTTAAACTGTCCTGAGAACGAATGATAGTATGATTTGGGAATATTTCCAATTCCGACCTAGACTGGGCAGGACCAGGGCCAAGCCTAGGACTGGACTGGGTGTACAGACAATAAATCAGGCACAAGTGTCACCCTATCAGTGTCAGAGGTTTGAGTGTGGCTTCTCTGAAATAGTAACTGTTTGCATTACTCTGCACTTGTAATAACATCCTGCCACGGGGGCCCACATTTATACCACTTTTACACTACCCAGAGATCTGACTTCAGCCTCCACCGTGAAAAAAACATCTCTGATTAAGCTCTTTTCTGCATTAAAGTTGCTGCCCCTCCCAGAACATGCAGAACCACAACCAGCTGCCTCCAGCTGGGAGATTATTCTGGCAAAATAAAATCCATTTTGGAAAAACAATTAAGGCTTTCCCCCGGGGGGAGGGCCAGGGCCAATGGAACTGCCATTCTGAATGGCTCTGGGTAAGGGCTGGACATTGCTAGGAAACCCCCCCCACACACACACACACACACACAACAGGGACCTATCTGAGAAGGGATGAGCTGTCACTTCTGGAAGTCAAAGGCTTCTTGGTTGACTTTATGTGCAGTAGGGCCTAGGACGCACAGGAAATTGAAAGAGAACCTACAGTCATTTGTCAGGATGCGCCCAGTCATGTCAAAATCTAAAGAAATTGACAACCTACCAAGATAACAGGGGCAGGGCTATCCACCAGGACCTTGCACTCGCCCGCTCAGTCGATGGACCAACGGACCAAGCTCTTGTTCTAGGTTTGACGAAATGCTGGGACCCTGAGGTCCCGCCTCAGAACAAGGGGCTCCTTCAGCACCTAGGTCCCCAGGTGGTCTGGGCACCCTCGGGGCCGGCCCCACCCATCTGCGACGCTAAGTGAAGGTGCTGCGAGTACGGGGGTGCCCTTCGCTACCCTACCCCCTGCAGGGGGCTCGGGGTCGGGGTGGGATCGCCCCTGCGCACGGACCTGCCGCTCCTTGGCCTGCAGCTCATAGGCCTCGCGCTTCCGCTGCAGCTCGTCTTCCAGCAGCACGCGCAACTGCTCCAGCTCGAGCGCCTGGCGCTGCAGCGCCTCCGCCTCCTGCGCGCACAGCCGCGTCTCCTCCTCGGCCTGGAGCCGGCTCTCCTGGCCGCGCCGCAGTGCCGCCTCCAGCTCGCGCACCTCGTCCTCGTACAGGTGCACGGCGTCCCGCCACGACTCGGACACCAGCAGCGCGTAGCTGTCGTGCACCTCCCGCAGGCGTGGCGGGGGCGCGGCGGGGCCGGTGGTGCGGGCTCGGTAGTGCAGGGTCAAGCTGGCAGCGCGCGCGCGCAGCTCCCGCACTTCGCGCTCGTGGGCCGCGTCCAGGCCGCGACGCTCGGCCTGCAGCCGGCCCAACATCGCCTCGAGGGCAGCGCGCGCGCCCTGCGCTTCCTGCAGCTCGCGCCGCTGCACTCCCAGCTCGGCGTCCAGGCGGCCACGGGCGGCGCGCTCCTCCTCGCCCAGCAGCTGCAGCTCCCGCAGCTCGCGCCGCAGCGTGTCGCGCTCGCCCTCGGCCAGCGCCGTGGCCCAGCTCAGCTCGTCCAGCTGCTGCCGCAAGCGGCGCGCCTCCTCGGCCCAGCGGGCCTGGCCATTGACCCCCAGGCCCTCCTGTCGGCGGCGGCCGCGCAGCTCCTCCTCCAGGAGCAGGTTTTCGCGCTCCAGCTCCCGCACCCGGCACACGTAGTCATAGAGCCGGGCGTTGAGCTCCTGCAGCTCGGCCTTTTCGGGGCGTGTGTGCAGCCGCCAGGACAGCATGGTGCTGAGTGTTCGGGACGCTGCCGGCCAGCCGGGCCCCTTCCTCCCTGGTCTTGTCCCCTCCGCCGCACCTCTCCGGCCCCGCCGCCGCCGCCCGGGAGGCCCGCAGACTGCCACGGGAGCCGGCGAGTCGCTGCACTTAGCGGACCCGACGCACGGGAGGGGCGCGGGCCGCCGCCTCTAGCCAATCAGAGCGCGGCCCGGCGCGGCCATTGCGGACGGACAGCGCCCCCTGCCGGAGCGACTGCGGCGCCGCGCGGCTGCCCAGCCCAGGGCCCCGGCGGCCCGAGTTCTCGTCGCCGGCTGTCGAGCAACAGCGGGCTGTGGCTCTCTGGCTGTGCCGGCCTCGGAGAAGGGGTGCCGGGGAAGGCTACCCCGTGGCTGCTGCGTCACGCACCTAAGGCACCCAAGTGTCCTGGAGTTCGTGGACGGACAGAGAAGTCACCAGCACGCGAGGCTCTGAGGTATTAAGCCGGTGGTCGGAGCGGAGGCCCTGGAGACTGGCGGTTTTTATATTTTAAAAAATTTATATATATATATATATATATATATATATATATATATATATATATACTATTATCGTATACACACATATATATATACACACACACCCATATATGCATTCAATATTCTATTTTAATTTTAAATATAAATATGTATCCATTTGCCAGTGTTTCAATGTACAGGCAAGACTTTCGATATGGTTGACCGGAGTGCCAGGTTTCCCTTCTTATATAAACTAGCTGTGAGGGACAGTCTGCACTTTCCCATATCAGTTTCTTTCCTTTGGAAGGAGAACCTGTGAAGCGACCTGAGTGCAGAATTTTCCTGGACACCTAACATCCCCTCATACTCGTCACCCCTCTGCCTAACGTGATGGCTGCCTTTTTTCCCAACAATGTGCCTCAATTTAATTGTCATAGAAACCACAGCTCTCTTCTGCACGCTTGTGTTTCATTAGTTTTCATGACCGTTATTTAAGTTACGAATGACATAACCAATACAAGTGGCACGAAGGGGCCATAGCAACAAAGACAGCTGGCCCTTGTTTGGGGTGTCCCGGGATTAGTGGAGACGGACGTGCCCAGGGAGGCCTGGAGAGCCATCCAATGGCCCCAGGACGCCTCATGGCAGGGCCACTAATCAGTATTTTACAGAGGGCAGGGAAAGTGGGGTGGTCAGCAAGTTGGTCCAGGGAAGGTCCCCCGGGACAGCTGCCAGTGCTCGCCTTGTGACAGGCGTGAATGTCCAGCCACGAGTAGGGCTTTTGTTTTACCAGCAACCCCATATCACAGACCCTATTCTATGGGTGGTAGAGATTAATATCTTTCAAATCAGAATCTCTGTCCCTTTCTGCCAAGGGTACATTGTGGGGGAGGGAGGTTATTCAGTGCCAAATTGAAATATCCTGAAATATGGAAAGACTGGTCTCAAGTCCGGTTTGGGTATTAATCAGTAGTGTGTGATCTTGGCCACTTCACTTCACTTCTGAAGGCCACAGATTCCTTGGCTGTCATTGAGGGACTCAGACTACATTATCACCAAGGTTGTGTGGTAACCAGCCCCCAAGATGGCCCCCAGTGATCCCACCTCCTGGCATTCACTCCCTCATTGTGCCAGAGTGTGTCGGCATGAGTTGGGGTTATAAAAAACACTATGGCTTCTTTCTTTGTGTCTCTCTGTCTTTTCTTTGGATCACTCACACTGGGGGAGGTCAGATACCATGTCATGAGCAGCCCTTCAGAGAGGCCTAGGCAGTGAGGAAATGAAGTCTTAGACCCAGAGCCTTCAAGGAATTATGGGCTGCCAACAACCCGTGAGTGAGTTTGGAAGTCACAGTCCTTGAGATGACTGCTGGCTAGCCAGCAGCTTGACTGTAGCCTCATGAAAGACCCTGAGCCAGAACAAGCCAGCTAAGCCACTCCTGGATTCCTGACCCTCAGGAAACTGTGAGAAAACAAATATTTGTTGATGTGAGATCACCTGTTAGGCAGCAGTCTAATACAGACCGTGTCTGGCTTTCGAATCTGTAAGCCTAACGCCCTGGAAATATAGTAATCTTATTCAGGGAAAGCCTGATGTATAACAATTGTTTGTCTTTCCACTTCCTCCCCCAGCTGGAATCCATAAAGAGATAATACAAAATATGCCAAAATTTATTTTGGAGGAACAGTGTTTATTTTATGTGTGTTTGTAAGCGTTCCTAAAGTGTTGCTAATTTTGCTTCACTGAACCCTTTATTTCACAAATGAAGGTGGAAATCCAGATAAATTAGGTGATTGGAATAATGCAAATGTTCTTCATTTTTTCACATTTGCATTTCTTCAGTGGTGAATAAAAATGAGGTACAGGCTTGCTTTTTTTTTTTTCTGCTCCAGCTTCATGGGGAGAAATGTGTCTTGAGCAGTGGTGACACTTGCAAATATCTTCCCAGGTGGCCAAGGCCCAGTGAAATCCCAGGGGGCCCTACGACAGGACAATATAGTGACAAGAGGGAGTTAAAGCATGCAAAGTCACTTCCAGAAAAATAGCTGAAGCTTGGAGAGGGACTGGCAGGCAGTGGGGCTACCATGTCCATCTGGAATGAGAAAAAAGCATTTTGACAGGACAAGAAGTGACTTGCTGTTTAAAATGAGACCAGGGGCCCATGATACACTGGTGATAGGAAGGAAATTGAGGGCATGGAGGGTCAAATTCCAGGGGAAGAATATGACCATGCAATGAATCTAGGCAGAGATTTAGGACAGGCCCACAACCAGAATCAAGATAAGAAATAGAAGATAGCCAGCACCCAAAAGAAGCCATCTTCATCTCCCCTCCCAGGCACTACCCTCCGTTTAAAAACATAGACTGGTGTCACCAGTATAATGGAAACACACACTGTGTATTCTTATGTATCTGTCTTCTTTCATTTAACATAGCAGTGTTCTTTGTAACAGCCAAGAACTGGAAACAACCCAAATGCTCAGTAACAGAAATAACTGAGTAAGTAAACTGTGATCTAGTCATACAATGTAAAACCCAAACAGATGACCTGTTGCTACACGCAGCAGCGTGGATTAATTTCACAAACATAAGGTTGAGTGAAAAAAGCCAGACTCAAAAGACTATACCACTCAAAAACAAACAAACCTAAGTTACTGGGTTAGAAGTCAGAGCTGCGGTTCTCTTTAGGGATGATGGAAAGAAAGCATAATGTCCCAGAAGTTTTTTCAGTATTTTAAGTTGTAGCCATTATAATTAATGGGTGTTTAAGAGTTAGGATTTAGTGTTAGAATTGGGGATAGTTAATACTAATGTATTAGGGTTAAGGTTTTACATTGTCCTGATGACTACTAATTTATTGTCTACTCGTTTGTGACATGTCTGTTCACATCTTTTGCCAATTTTTCTGTAGGGCTTTGTGTCTTTTGCTTATGGCTCCCCCCCCCCACATATTCCAGATATAAGTCGTGTCTTGCATCTATGGTTTTATCTCTCTGGTTACAGGTATTGCAAATATCTTCTCCCACTCTCTGCCTTGCCTTTTCTCTTTCTTAATGGTGTCTTTTAAAAATTGAAATACAATTCACATACCACAAAATACACCTATTTAAAGTGTACATTGCAGTGGTTGCTAGTACAGTCACCAGGTTGCGCATTCATCATCTAATTCTAGAACATTTTCCTCAGCCCAGAAAGAAACCCCATTTCCATTAGCTGTCACTTCTCATTTCCTCCCTTGGCAACCACTGGTCTACTTTTTTGCCTATTCTGAACATTTCATATAAATGGTCTGGCTTCAACCACTTAGCATGTTCTCAGGGTTCATCCATGTTGTAGCATGTATCAGCACTTCATTCCTTTCTGTGCTGAATACTGTTCCATTGTTTAGATATAACAGATTTTAATTTTCAATCCATCAGTCGACGGACATGAGTTGTTTCCGCTTTTTTGCTATTATGCATAATGCTACTGTGAACATTCATGTACAAGTTTTTGTGTGAACATGTTTTCAGTTCCCTTGGATGTAAAGCTAGGGGTGGAATGGCTGGGTTACATGGTAACTAACTCTATGTTTAACATTTTGAGGAATGGCCAAACTTCTCAAAAACAGCCTCACCATTTTACATTCCCACTAGCAAGGTAGGAGGGTTCCAGTTTCTCCACATCCTTGCTTGTTGTCTGTCATGTTGGCTATGCCATCCTGGAGGACAGGAAGTGGCATTTCATTGTGGCTTTCATCTGCATCTTCCTAATGACTAACGTCTAACATTTTTTCATGTGCTTATTGGCCAGTTATATATCTTCTTTAGAGAAATGTTTATTCAGATCCTTTGCCCATGTTTTAATTGGGTTGTTTTTTCGTTGTTGAGGTGTAAGAGTTATTTATATCTTCTGGATACAAGTCCCTTATCACATGTATGATTTGCAAATATCTTCTCCCATTCTGTGGGTTGTCTCCACTTTCTTGATATTGTCCTTTGAAGCATAAAATTTTTAAGAAATCTCACTTATCTATTTTTTTCTTTGGCTGCTTGTGTTTTGGTGTCATATCTAAGAAACCAAATCCAAAGTCATAAAGGGTTGTACCTATGTTCTCTTCTAAGAGTTTAATTGTTGTAGCTTTGGTCTGTGATCCATTTTGAGTGAACTTTGGGATATGGTGTGAGGTAGGAGTCCAATTTCATTCCTTTGCATGTATTCAGTTGTCCCAGCATTGTTTGTTGAAAAGACTGTTTTTTCTCTCATTGAATTGTCTTGGCATCCTTGCCAAAATCATTGACCATAAATGTAAGGATTTACAGCTGGATTCTTAATTCTATTCTATTGATCTACATGGCTACCTTTATGCCAGTATTACACTGTATTGGTTTCTAGTAAGTTTTAAAACTAGGAAGTGTGTATCTTCCAACTTTGTTGTTCTTTATCAAGATTGTTCCAACTATTCTGGGTCTCTTGCATTTCTATATCAAATTTAGGATCAACGTGTTAATTTCTGCAAAAATGGCAGCTGGAATTTGGGTAGGGATTATAAATATATTGAATCTGTTGATCAGTTTGAGGAGTATTGCCATCTTAATAATATTCACATGCATGTCACAGACAAGTAGCCAATAAATATATGAAAAAAATGTTCAACCTCTTCAGTAATCAGGACAATGTAAAACCCTAACCCTAACATATAAGTATTAACTACCCCCCAGTGCTAACACTAAGTGGAATTGTTTCCCTAGTTTCTTTTCCAGGTTAATCATTGCTAATATGTGGAAATAAAACTGATTTTTATATATTGACCTTATATCCTGCAAATTGCAGAACCCGATTTATTATCTCTAATCGATTTCTTTGGTATGGATTCCTTAAGATTGTCTATACACAAGGTCATGTCATCTGCAAAAAAGAGATATTTTACTCCTTCCTTTCCTGGATGCCTTTTATTTTTACCTTCTTGCCTAGTTGTCCTGTGCAGAGCCTCCAGGAC